TGACGATATTAGTACAAATCTTGGCACAAGTCTCTGGAACACACACACTCCGTGTATAAGAGCAACAGACTAGCATCCCGACCTCAGGCCGAAGCCAAAGACCAAGCATTTCCTCCCATTTTACTGTACCTTACTCGTTTCCAGGGCCTCTCGCATTTCATTCTCTTTTTCTCCCAAAGATGACGTTCTGAGACAATTGGCAAATTTCTAATAGGTAATTATTTACAGAAACATTAAAAATAAAACTAAAATAACGGATTTAGCTCTGAAATAACCTGGTGACTAAGAGCTGCTGATAACTTTGCAGCACAAAGAGTGTCTTTACTGACGTTAGTGGCTTATGCCTTCCAGGAAAACAAAATATTTCGCTTTATTGGTTGGTACCTTGATGGTTACAAAACCACAGGGACCGCAAATCACATGCATAAAGATGGGGTTACAAATCTGATCACATTATTTAAGTGCCTTGGGTTGTTGCTCTCAATTATTTTGTCTTTTACCTGGAGAGGTGTTCCAACTATTTGAGGAATACTGCTGGAGGTGGAAATAGGGGAACTTTGTTTCCAAAGGTTAACATTGTTGAGTTTAAGCTACAGGAGGTAAGACGGCTGGATAGGAGCTTGAGGTCTTTTAGTAACAGGGGGTTTATTTTTTCATCAAGCCCTGGGTCGTAGTGTTAGCTTTAAGCAGACCTTGGGAATGTATCTCTGTTAGCTCCAAGGGACGTCCTTTTCATCACCTTTGTTGATGATCTGCCACTTTCTCCCAGCGGGTGTGAAGAGAAGGTGTGACCCAGCTGTTTGGAGTAATGAGCTGCGGGAACCTTGGACGAGAAGGAGAGGGGGGAAAAAAAAGTCACACAGGGTTTTGATACCACTCTGTTGTGTAAGACGATGGAAGGGAGGAGAACTAAAAGGCAGGAGGATAGAAGCAAAATTGTTGGCTTAGTCATGGATATAATATGGGCATGATGCTGGTCTGTAATCATCTTTTTAACACCAGCTTTTTGCATCACAATGGAAGAGAATCAGCCGTGTTTTGTGTCTGAGCGATCACACAATCAGACGTGGGCCTGTTTAAGGTTTTTTTTTTGTTGTCTCCTGCTGTGGGCAGACACTGGTACTGCAACAACATCATCTCGTCCCCTTAAGCCACGAACGTCGATTCCCAGGCTATCCTGATCACCTGTCAGCCCTCTAAATTTCTCATCCTTATTAGAGCAACAAATATAATTACTGGTTCTTTTGAGGGATGACATGTTTGATTGTGTTGAAGGCAGAGGGGCCTATTTTTTTATTATTTTTTTTTGTTGCTTTTTTTAGTCTCTGTGAGAATCTGAGAAGATCTTTGCTCAGACTGTAATCTGATCCTTCCTTTTTCTTTTTGTTTCATTGTCGTTTTATGTGTTTAATTGGCAGAAAATGCGATGAGCTCAAGGCGATGTCATTTATATCTTTTGGAAACAATATGGGCACGCGAAGCAAAAAGGAAATATTTTGGAATATATACTTTTTTTTGTTTGTTTGTTTAGTCCCCCCACACACACACATTTTCATATTCAAAAGGGTACGATCTATAATATAAAGTTAGATATACGCTCATATACATAGCCTTAGTTTTTGACCGGTGATTTTTACTATTATTTTTATTTAATTTATTTATTTTTATATAACCCCAAAATTGTTGCGCAGGGAAGAGTCAACCAGCAGAGGTGGTAGCCACCAATAATGTTTGGCATAGTAACGGAACTCATAAACAGAATGCAAAATGAAGAGTCTGTATGTTCTGAAAAAAAAAAGAAATGAGCGGACTAGATGGGGAGGATTGGCATTTACCCGTCATTGTACCCTATGTTTAGACGTAGAGCACACCTGAAAATCACGTTAATGCCACAGGGGCACCTGACATGAAGATTTTGTGTAAAACTTCCCCAAAGGTTAGTATTAATATAAACAAAAGAGAAAAGTGATCCTGCATTTAAAAAGGACACTCCTAGTACCACAACCACTTATTGTTGTGGATATGATACAAAGAGGCTATGGGTACAGTCCATCTGGCTTCTGTCAAACTGCTTTTAAGGTGGTTTGATGACAAATGACCGATTACTGAGCATGTGGAACGAACCTCTCTGCTTGGCAAGTGATAACAAGGACGTATTATGACCTTTTGGTCCAAAATATTTATGACCTAAGCATTCGTGGCTCCATCTGTCTGTCCACTCTGATTCAGCGGCCATCCAGTAGTGAGTGCACAGTGCTTGCACCATAGACATATATTGAGACAGTGAAAGACATCATTGCCCAAGAGTTCTACAATACGTTGGTAATAAACTGTAGTAGTTCTGGTAAAGGGACACTGTAGGTCTTGGCACCTAACGTGGAAGAATACATCAGAGGTAAAAAAACAAACTTGATTTTGACATTTTATTTTGTGCTTCTATGTGTGTTGCAAAAAATACATTAAAAAAAAAAAAAAGACAAAGACTCCTTGCTTTGCTTTGTCGTGGGAGTGTTTTTGGACCAACTTGAATAAACACCCAGAAACGGAACTAAAACAATAAAAATAATTTAATAAAAAAGGTGAATTCTGAGGTGTGCCTTGGAAGTTGTCATGAGTTCAATCTGATCTAATCTTTCAGATCCACACCCTACATGTGCCGGCTATAGGCCTTGGTGCATGCCATTTTGGGGTAATTTCTGGTATGCCATGGACAGAGACTGACACAGTCTTCTACTCAATAATAATAATGGTTTGATATACCCTTTGACATGGTTTGACATTCGCTCTGACATACCCTTTCTGTCAGAGCGAATACCTGGCTATCTTATATACAAAATAAAATAATTTACGAACAGGAAAGTGGTGTCCGTTTTACAATTCGGAAGATAATAGATTTAATGCAATTTTTTGTTTTTAATTTCTTTTAAATGTTGACATTGGATTCTTGGATATCTGGGCAAATGAATAGATCAGGTGAACATTTTGAATGATAAATGGAGCTAATAATGTATGTAACTCCAAAAACTGCTATTAACACCAGCGAGATTAAGCACAAAATTACTCACTACACTTCAACCATATAATAAAAACCATGGTGAATGCACACAGTGTAAAGTAAATACACACTATATAGTTATAAACGGTCCAATATGTCGTTTTTTTAAAATTAGGAGATCAATTCTTAAATCCTCGTCTATGCAAAAGGAATAAGCAGAAATATAATAAAGAGTAATATGTACATATTGTATTAAAAAAGTCCCCCGTACCTGAAGCGACTCACGCTAATTAGAGCTGTGACTACGTTCTATTTATATCTCATAATGTGGAAGGTAATTTACAGAATACAATTTAATCGATAAACCTAACTTAAATACAAAACCATAAAAGCCAAATTACACAATAATGAGTCTCTGACAAAATAGTCTTCTCAACACTGGCCAATTTCAGAACGTTTCGATGAAAGTCTTCAGGTGTGACTGAACAATCTTACCCAGTTTGGCTTAACCCCTTAAGGACACATGACGGAAATATTCCGTCATGATTCCCTTTTATTCCAGAAGCTGTGTCTTAAATAGTGATTCCAAACTCCCGATTCTCGGATGCTTCATATCACTTGGCATGCCCCAAAAGTCCAGCTAAACAGTCCAGCTAATTTCTAATACACATTCAATCCCATTAAAGTGTAAAAAGAAAAACAAATCTCAGAATTTTCAAAACCTATTATCAATTATATGCTGCATTAAAAGAGAGAAGACATTAATACTTCAAAATATCATAAAACACCTCAAACTCCACAGTGGGACCCATTGGGTAGATGGTTTCCATGACATACAACCATGTTATTTCTGTTTTTCTCAGGTGTCTGTGATGGTCTCCACTTCTCCCATGTTTCCCAGCTAGATCAGTTGAACCTTCCTTACCGTCACACACCTAGCCTGTCTCCTGTCATTCTTTGACAATCCACATTAGTTATCTCTATGTTGCTTTAGCCATATTACTAACCCATGTAGGATTGCTAAATGCTGGTCAGGTTCGGGTTGCCAGTGAGTATGCGCCTGTGTGGACGAAGATTGCCTGATTCACCACGTTTTCCCGAACATACATCTTGTCATGTTGGTGTGCAACACATGAAAAGTGCTGCCATGAAATATATAGGATTTATATGCTGCAGGATTCCTCGTTAACTATTATAGATTAATATTTCCTTCCTGCAACATTTGACTTCTACAAACTGCAGGTCAAACATAAGTATCAAGTGTTACCAGCTGAAAACCTTTACTGGTTATCTTTGACCGTGATTACAGATGGTTCATCCAAGCTACCTGCTTCATTGATGGGCCAGTGTCACACTAAATACTTGGAGGTTGTGGTGTGAATGTCTGTGTTTTAAACATGCGTTGTGCAGGGTCTCTGCAAGGTCCATCAAGCTGTGAACATGCTTGGTTTTACATTTTAGCAGTAGGTATGCCATCTAGTGGTTTCTCACAGCAGTGCATCACTGCAATACATATAGCAAACTGAATCTAAATTCAGCACCTAGGACAGATCTTAATGCATTAATAATTATTGTACACGTTCTATACTGTATATTTATAGCTACATTTTTTCTTCTTCTTCATTTCATTATTTCATGACAGCTGTATGCCGTAAAACGAACATGTCCATCTTCTAGTAGTGATTTCTCTGTATTTCTTAATATTAAGAACACTTTATAAAATTCATTAATAAAAATGTTTGTTTTTGTTTTTTTTATTAAAGGAATGCTGATCTCAATATGCAAAAGGCCATATTTAACTAAGGGCTTGGCAAAATTAGTAGTTTAATATGTCCATATGATAGCAATATTATTTCCGAAATTCTTTAAAAAACAAAAAAACAATCATGGTGAAGTGTTAACATTTCATAATGAAACCATAAAACACATTCTGTAAATGCTTTACTCACTCATTAAAACAGGAGATTTCTGGCCCCCAAAACCCAGCTTGTTTTATTTTGGAAAAATGTATTTAACATCCTCCTCATCATCGATACAGCAGGGTATCAGATCCGGCGTCGATACAGCAGGGTATCAGATCCGGCGTCGATACAGCAGGGTATCAGATCCGGCGTCGATACAGCAGGGGATCAGATCCGGCGTCGATACAGCAGGGGATCAGATCCGGCGTCGATACAGCAGGGTATCAGATCCGGCGTCGATACAGCAGGGTATCCGATTCGGCGTCGATATAGAATGGTATCAGATTCGGCGTCGATATAGCAGGGTATCAGATTCGGCGTCGATACAGCAGGGTATCAGATTCGGCGTCGATACAGCAGGGTATCAGATCCGGCGTCGATACAGCAGGGTATCAGATCCGGCGTCGATACAGCAGGGTATCAGATCCGGCGTCGATACAGCAGGGTATCAGATCCGGCGTCGATACAGCAGGGTATCAGATCCGGCGTCGATACAGCGGGTATCAGATCCGGTCGTCGATACAGCGGGCAGATCGGCGTCGATACAGCGGGGTATCCAGATCGGCGTCGATACACAGGGGTATCATCGGCGTCGATACAGCAGGGTATCAGATCGGCGTCGATACAGCAGGGTATCAGAGGGTCGGCAGATCGATAGGCGTCGATACACGGGGTATCAGATCGGCGTCGATACAGCAGGGTATCAGATCGGCGTCGATACAGCGAAATTGTCAGATCGGCGTCGATACAGCAGGGTATCAGATCCGGCATTCGATACATACAGCGGGTATCAGATCGGCGTCGATACAGCAGGGTATCAGATTCGGCGTCGATACAGCAGGGTATCAGATTCGGCGTCGATACAGCAGGGTATCAGATCCGGCGTCGATACAGCAGGGTATCAGATCCGGCGTCGATACAGCAGGGTATCAGATCCGGCGTCGATACAGCAGGGTATCCGATTCGGCGTCGATATAGAATGGTATCAGATTCGGCGTCGATATAGCAGGGTATCAGATTCGGCGTCGATACAGCAGGGTATCAGATCCGGCGTCGATACAGCAGGGTATCCGATTCGGCGTCGATATAGAATGGTATCAGATTCGGCGTCGATATAGCAGGGTATCAGATTCGGCGTCGATACAGCAGGGTATCAGATCCGGCGTCGATACAGCAGGGTATCCGATTCGGCGTCGATATAGAATGGTATCAGATTCGGCGTCGATATAGCAGGGTATCAGATTCGGCGTCGATACAGCAGGGTATCAGATCCGGCGTCGATACAGCAGGGTATCCGATTCGGCGTCGATATAGAATGGTATCAGATTCGGCGTCGATATAGCAGGGTATCAGATTCGGCATCGATACAGCACGGTATCAGATTCGGCATTGATGTACAAAGAAAAGTGAGGTAAAAAAGACTCAACTCAAATACATTAAAATTCGGAGGCAAACAAGCTCATATGTTTTAAGTTTTTACATTTTTTGCCAATTTGAACATTAAGCCGCCCACCAATATCTAAGATTTGGTCGCACTGGGGTCCTTTTGCTGTGGCCGGCTTATCTCAGTGGTTTAATTCTTGACACGTGAAGGCCTCTGGAACAGCTGTAGCTGTCGATAAGTTTCTGTTGTGCAGCTGCTGGTTAGATTAATATTACAGACTGCTAGAAACTCTGGGTGAAAACAAGAAGCTTGGTTATTCAAAATGGCTGCACCGGTAGGATATAGAACGAAAAGTACAGAATGACTAGCTGGCAAAAGCTGCCAACTGTCCAACCTCTTTGGGTAGATGGAGTTCTGGGTTTTACTCCTTCCTTAGAAGTTCATGAAGCGCTAAGGCCTCTGGTATATCGTGATCCTTCCACTACCTATTTAGGGCCTTTGAAAACAGCAGGCCGAAGAGGATGCTTCTTAATCTTTTTATTACTTTTATTCCTTGCTTTGTTGGGACAAAGAACTAATTACAACACTGAATTTGTTAGATCCAATAAGAGTACTGCAATGAGTCCTTTCTAGTAAGTGAACTGTTTACACCAGGAAACTGCCTACATAAGTATCTTAACTTTCCATATACTATTGTTGAGAGGAAATTAACCCCGGGAAAGTGTGCAGTGGGCTCTTCATTGTCTCTGAGGGTCCTCAATGCTGTTTGAAAGCAGAAGCTTGTTGTTGGAGTGGTGGCAACCATTGGAAATGGTGTTAAACGAGAGGGGATTGCCAAAACCTGCCCATCAGCCTCTAGTTCTGATGCAAACCGTGCCATAAATTATTTTAATCACGGGGCAAACCGACCATGTACTTCCCACACAGGATGACAGATTTATAGGGAGAAGAGATCATTAGTTACGTTCCTTTCACCCACCCCTCTTTGTACAAGCTGGGCCACTAAGAAAGTGAAATGAATAATCTATTGAGTCTATAAGGTGACACATTAAAGGGCTACACTTTTATCCATACATTATACGAGCCAACTTGCTTTCAAATGAATAGCTGGGATGTTATTCTCCGTTTCTGATTTGCTTTGCTTCTGTGTAATCGTTCTAGCCGTAACGACAAACATTTCGTAAACCGGTATTTGCACAGTATATTCTTCACACGATAGAGAACACCTGCTCTCCGGGAATTGCCTGATGTTGTGCTAGTCATTTAGTTTCATTTATTTATGACTGTGTGCATTAAGGGCTATGAGGGAACCTGAACAAGTTATCTAGGGAACGGCACAAATCACTTCTCGTGTCTCCCTCCCGCATGTGTCTTGCTTTAATACAATTGTAGCAAATGTATTACTAGAGAAATTTGTGATTTAGCTTTGCTACCAGTTGTTATATGTAGAGTATGAGCACCCTCTAGTGGTTAAAGTGAATATTGGCAAGCTATTGAATGCCTAAGCTTTTGTCCATTCTCCAAGTCCTCTGTTTATGTTGCTAAAGTGAATATTGGATGGAAAACATGTTACACTATAAGCAGTTTGTGAGACAGATACTAGGTTGTTTCGCTACAAGTTTAATGACCAGAATCCTTAAAAACGACTATTGTGTAATACATAGTATTTCATTCCTTTCAAGCCCATTCCAGAGCATGCGGTTTGACCACCTTCCTCGTTTCACTTCTTGGACCTTAGCCGTAGCTTCTTTCTTGCTTGAAAGGCCTACGCATAATATATTATAAAAATAAACAAAAACCAAAGGATTGAATTCAGCACTTATAACATGATTACAGTCCAATGGCAGTTCATTCACCAAGTACGAAGTCTCTCTTTTCCGGTTAAAAAGCTGGATAAAACAGGGGGCAGGTGCAGTGTCTAAATAGATCTTTTTTGGATAAATACAACGACAAGGAAAAAGAACAGGAAAAATTGATAGTGTTGTATATTAAAAATGGTGTAGGTATAAAAAAGATAAAAATGTGCGGAAGGGGAAGCAAGAGGGGGGGGGGGGGCTCTCCTTAGAAACCTTTAGAGCCAGGAGAACGGCTTTGTTTTCCTGGCAGCAATAGGATCCCTTTAAACACTCCTAGAATGCAGTTTTTGATGCATATTGTTTTATGTTCACATTACGTGTCCTGAATAAAAAGATTTGCTGTGTACTATGGGCTGCTGGATGTATGATTTGTAACCTATTTAGAGTCGGACATGGGCAGAACCCTTATTATTAAAGTCCTGATATGTCATTAGTTCTGAAAGGTCATTAAAAGCCTTTTGAACCATGAGTAGACGTGCTAGTTCAAACACCCCAACCCAGCACTTACAGATGCCCTATTAGGAGGATTGTCAGAGGTTTATATACTATAACAGAGAGTATAACAAAGCAATTATTAATGCACTCTAACATTGAACGTTATATTATATTTCATGCCTAAATCTAGTTTATAAAGCACTGTTCACAGGATCCGCACAATGTGACCATATGGGGTGACCCTGAAATAGGAAGAGATACACTATAGGTGTCTTTAGGAGGTCAAAATCCAGAGGTAAAGGTTTTTATCGGCATCAAATTCCTTCATTTGGCATATTGTAATATGTTTTGTGGCAGCTCTATGTGTGCCTACTTCTGTTATGTCCCCACGTCTTTAAACACTCAGAGTGATACTGACCAGTGATACTGACCAATTGCATTGGCCGTGCTAGTACTGTAGTGAATAAGAAGATGAAATGGGGCGATATGGGGAGAGAAACAAATTTGGTTAGGGAAGATGGAGAGACATCTCATGGTAAGCGGTCAAAAATTTCGGCAGAGCCAGGTAAGGTGTCAGACCATTGGTAAGTGGTTTAATAGCTCCCATGGAATTGTACCAGGGAACTCTTAGCAACACAACTACTACAGGGTGCTGAGAGTGTCCCTTTAAATCTTTCTAGTATTTTCCAATAGTTCTAAAGGAAATGGGAGAACAGGCATATCCGTAAGAATAATCTCACGTCTGGTTAAATAATTTAAATTCCAGCTTTTATGGGAATTGCCACATTTTTTTAACTTTGAATCATATTGAAGTTTCTCAACGTTTACAACATTTTACAGAGACAGGCCGTGTGTTTAACAGGTATTAACTAAGGTTAACGGGTAAAATAGCTAGTGATTTTCTATGTGGAATAAAACCATTTCTGTACATTCTATAGGAAGTGCAATCTGTGAAAGTAAAAAAACAAAAAATTATAATAAAATGATGCATTTTAAGTTGCTACGTTTGCAATAAATCTCCATTTTTACAGTAGCACGTATCCGAACAGTTAGTGACCTGCCAATCGAGAGGCTATATGTATTTATTGCCGCAAGTGATCACATTATCCTATAATCTCTGCGCAGTTTCTGTGAGGTTTTGTTAATGAATCAGCTTTCTACTTAAGTTGTTAGCGCAACTACAACCCCCACAAATTACTAATTTTAACTGTCCCCATACAGCACAGACAGAGGGCACACAAATCTGCCCGTCCGTCCATCTTCACAGCAGTTGCAAAGCATCATTTTTGGCTGTCCCTGTATTACATTGATTTAATACCACAAGAGGTGCTTTACAATATACAGGGTCATTCATTACTGACCAGGTCACAGCCATCTGGTGCTGTTCGGGGCCATTCAAACTACAAATCTGGTCATTGTTCATGCTGTTTAACAGCGTTTGGATTTTGCCCTGCCAGTTATGAATGGTTTGAATTTCAGCTGAAATCTGCACCTGAGTGTTAAAATCTGGTCTTAAATTTAACAACCACCACCAAAAACAAAGAAGCTAAACAAACCACCTTGGTGGCACAAGTGTTAATTATGTGATGGCTGACCAGTGCTTTCTACCTAGCTGCCAGAATTATAAAAGCCTATGGGTTACTATAATGGAGGTGGAGGCATAGCTCCTAAATATTTCACACTAGTGACTGGGCAGCCATCAGGGGCGTAACTAGGAATCACATGGTGCTGTTGCAAGAATCAAAGAAGGGGCCGTCCTTGGTCACCCTAAGCAATACCTCTGCGTGGGATGTGTGTGGTGGCTGAGTGTGAATGTACGGGGCTCGGCTAAGTGTGATTGGCCCTGCTTGAGATCATGCTGGATTCACTGCTTCCGGTATTCCCCCAGAGAGTAACACAGTAACAGGACAAGGACCGCCTGTCATTCAATCTATGGTATTTTGGTCTCCCTCCACGTTAATGACGCTACCATCAGCTCCACCACGCAGGCTCGCTGCCTAGGGCTTCTCTTTGACTCTGACCTCTCCTTCACTCCTCATGTCCAGTCGATCACCAAATCCGCCTCTACTTAATGCCAAATGCAGCTAAGGTGTCGGTCCATGCCACTGTCCTCTCTCGCCTTGACTACTGCAATCCGCTTCTCAATGATCTTATGTGCTCCCAACTTGCTTCAATGACATGTTTGTAAGTCCACCCATTGTCAAGCTTTACGGAATTTGTTGGCGCTATATAAATATTATATTAATAATATAACCTGTCTGCCGCTGGCACACGTCTACTGTTAAGGATTTAATTGACAAGTAGGGGAGGGGCAATATTTTTAAAGAGATATGAATTAAAATAAATACATTTGCTAGCACAATATACAAATGGAATTCTAATATTCTTTAAATATACTTATTAACACTTTAATATAATACACATGTATTATTACACTGCACGT